TAAGAATACACATAGCTGGGCATGGTGGCTCACACTTGTAATTCAAGCACTTAGGGAGACGGAGGCGAGAGGACTGCCTGAGCCCAGGGGTTCGAGATCAGCCTGGGCAACTTGGCGAGACCTCGTTTCTACAATAAATCCAAAAAATTAGACGTGGTGGCACATGTCTATAGTTCCAGCTACTTGGAAGCCGAGGCAAAAGGATTGCCTGGGCCCAGCAGATCAAGGCTGCGGTGGCCACGAGCGTGCCACTGCGCTCCAGCCTGAGCAACAGAGTGAGACTCTGACTCAGGGAAAAAAAAAAAAGAACACTCACACAATTTTCTGTGAATAAATTCCTGTGTTTTGGGTCCCCCTCGTGCTCTCATGCTGCTCTGAGTGCTCCCCCCACCCTGTCCCTCGAGCGCTCATTCCCCAAATCTATTTGCCTTCCGCTCCCTCAGCCCAAGCTCTTTCATCCAGTGCAGCTGTGTCCACAGGGGTTTGTCGGAGGCTTACACTTGCTCGTGTGTCAGCGGCTGGTCGACCCTTGCTGATCTGCCACTGTTTGACTAAAGAAGATGCTTTGATTTGCAGGAGGCAGCAGGGTGAGTGGAGAGGAAGCTGCCTGTGAGGGCAGAAATATTGGACCCGTACTGCTTGGAAACCTCTGTCTCACCAGGGTCCCCAAAACATAGCTGGGCGTCAGAGTAGACTTTACTCCTTCGCTCCTGGATGTGTAGATGCTAAGTAAGCACCCGGATTTGCTCGTCCCTCCTCTTGGCTGCCTAATGGTCTCCATGACAGCAGCAGTTTCCATGGAGAGGTGGAGAGGGTTATCCGTAAGATGAGGACATCTCCTAAGAAAAGATTAACATGTAAATAAGGAAATAAGAGAAAGCTGACGCAAACCAGGGTCCAAGTCCCTTGCTTTCCCAAGCCTCTGGGTTACCCGCTTCCTCCCATCGCACTAGCCATGTATATGCTGCCATGGAAGGGGCTGCAGGAAAGTCTGGAAACCTGGACCGGCCCAGGGTGCAGGGACTGGGGTCCAGCGGCCAGCCGGGGTGGCGAGAGTACTCCCCAGGCCGATGGGATTATCTCAGTCCCCACAAGTCTACATGTGGCCTCATTCAGTCCTCTCACTGGAGAGCTACTGGTCGGTCTTGGACTCACAAGAGCTGGTGACGGCCAGAAGGGAGTGGGCAGGGCCACATGGGACCTTGAAAGTGCCGAGTCCAGGAGTGGAGGCTGGGGCTGTCTCAGTGCTGGGCAGAAGCTAGAATGGCATTGTCTTTACCTCTGCCCTGTTGCTCCCCCAAGACCCTCTCGTGGGATCGTGACAAAGTCAGAGCCGCCGCGTCTCGGAAGGGAGCGTGCCCACCACGGCCTCTACAACCCACTTCCCTTTCCTGTCATGGATGTCAGTCCCACTGTTCGCCCCATGTCCTTCGTTAGACAGATGCATCTTCCTTCCTTCTGACTAGGCGACTCCAGACTCTATAAATGATTCTTCGTGGTTGATCAGAAAGAGACTCTCAGAAATGTGGCTTCATGGTCCTGGGTCTGTTTCCCGGCTGCTGCCTCTCTCAAGAAAGGCTTCTTCATCCCCCCTCCTCTTCTTCCTCCAACTCCTCCTTCGTCTCCTTTCCTCCCCTCCTCTTATCTCCTCCTCCTTCTTCTAGTGGCTTTATTGAAGCATAATGCACAATAAACATCACTCATATCAATCATATCATCTAACCTTTAGATACACAAAGTCCTCATGAAACCGAAATCGCCACCACGGTCAAGATGTGGGCACATCCCCCCCAAGACTGTCCTGACGCCCTTCAGAGCCCTCCCCAGCCCTCTCCCCCGGCGGTCCCGGTCTGCTCCCCACCGCTGTGGATCAGTATGCCTGTCCTGCAGTTTTGTGCAAGAGGGCTATGTGCGCATGAGTCTCTGTCTTGCCTAAGATCTTGCACTCAGCAGGACTCTCCTGAGACTCAGGCCTATTGTCCTGTGTCGGCGGGCCATTTCTTCCACCGCCAAGTGGTCTCCACTGTGTGGGTGCGCTAGCGTGGTTCTCTGCCTCCTTGCCGGCGGATGTGGGCATGGAGTTTTCCATTGTGAGGTATCATGGGCAAGATTGCAGTAAATGTCTGCGCTCGGGTCTTTGTGGGACACCAGCTTTCGTTTCTTCTGGGCAAACGCCAGGGGGACAAGGGCTGGCTTGCAAGGCCTGTGTAGGTTTCGCTTTTTAAGCGAGCCAGCCGGGCTCGGTGGCTCAGCCTGTAATCTTGTGCCTTGGGAGGCTGAGGTGAGTGGATTGCCTGAGCCCGTGGGTTCGAGACCCACCTGGGCAGCAAGACCTCATCTCTACAATAAATCAGAAAATCAGCCGGGCGTGGTAGTGCAAGCCTGTAATTCCGGCTACTTGGAAGGCTGAGGCAGAAGGATCGCCGGAGCCCAGCAGGTCGAGGCTGCGGTGGCCGGGAGCGGCCGCTGCACTGCACTCTGGGCGACAGAGTGAGACTCCAACTCAAAAAAAAAAAAATAGAACCCACCAAACTGTCTTCCAAAGTGTTCCTACCACTTTGTGTGGCCACCAGTGGCTATGAGAATGCCAGCTGCCCCACGTCCTTGCCCACACTTGGGGGGGTCAGTCTTTCCCACTCAGGTCATTCTGACAGACATGTCATGGTACCTCCTTGTGTTTCGATTTGCATCAGACTAATAACGACGTTGCTGAGTGTGCCTTCACCAGCTATCATTCATGTCCTTTCTTTGGTGCAGCATCTGCTTAAATCTTGGCCCATTTTGGAGGGAGGACATTTGTTTTCCTACTGAGTGTTGGAAGTTCTCATGTATTCTGGATGCAAGTTCTTTATCAGATGTATGGTTTGCAAGTGTTTTCTCCCAGTCTGCTGTTTGTCTTTTCATTCTCATAACAGTGTTTTTTGAAGAGCAGAATTTTAAATTTTTATTATTTTTCGTAGAGACGGGGTCTCACTATGTTACCCAGGCTGGTCTTGAACCAAGTGATCTTCCCCGCTTAGCCTCCCAAAGTGCTGGGCTGAAGGACAGAAGTTTTATATCTTGATGAAGTACACTTTGTCGATTTGTCCTTTTATTGATGCTGCTTCTAGTATCATCTATAAGAAATCTTTACCTAACCCAAGTCCATAAAGATTTTCCCTTATGTCTTCTTCTGGAAGTTTCATAGATTTAGGTTTTACCTTCAGGTCAATGATTCCTTGTAAGAAGCTCTTTTGTGCATGGGGCAAGGTATTAATCATTCGTTATAGGTTTTCCAAATGGATTTTAATTGTGCCAGCGTCTTTTGTGGAAAAGATTACCCTTCCTCCATGCCACAGAAGAGCCTAGACAATCTTGCAAAAAGTCAATTGTCCAACATGTGTTGGTTTGTTTCTGAACTCTATTTTGTCATTCTACATGTCTATTTTGATGCCAATATCACACTGTTTTGGTTAGTGTAGCTTTTTTTATTTTTTTTTGAGTTGGAGTCTCACTCTGTCGCCCAGACTGCAGTGCAGTGGCCGCTCCCCGCCACCGCAACCTCGACCTGCTGGGATCCTTCCGCCTCAGCCTTCCAAGTAGCCGGAATTACAGGCATGTACTACCACGCCCGGCTGATTTTTTGATTTATTGTAGAGATGAGGTCTCGCTGCCTAGGCTTTATAATAAGTCTTGAAATCTGGTGCTGACAGTCCTCCAACTTAAATTTTTTTCAACAGTTGTTTTAGCTAGGTGCTTTGCATTTTCATGTGAATTTTAAGATCAACTTTCCAGGTTCTACAGAGCAAAACCTGCTGGGAGTTTAGTAGATTTTCCCTGAGTTTGAGGATCTCCTTAGGGAGACTTGATACCTTCATGATATTCCAACCCATTTTCATTAATTTTTGGTTTGAACCGGAACACTTTTTACACTAAAGTTGGCATCTTAACAGCTTGGCTTTCCGCTAACATTATTTCTTCAGGGTGCCTGGGCTCAGTCTTTCAGATAAGTGTTTTTGGGCAGAGCAGTTTTAAGCAAATATACAATTATTTATTTACAATAGCCTTTTTCTTTATCTATTTATTTTGAGTCGAAGTCTCACTCTGTCACCCAGGCTGGAGTGCAGTGGCACGATCACAGCTACTGTGATCTGCTGACCTCAGGCAATCCTTCCACCTCAGCCTTCCAAGTAGTTGGAACTATAGGCATGTGCCACTACATCTGGCTAATTTTTTGAGTAACTGTAGAGGCGAGGTCTTACCAAGTAGCCCAGGCTGGTCTTGAACCCTTGGGTTCAGGCAATCCTCTTACCTCGGCCTCCCAAAGTACTGGGATTACAGGTGTGAGCCACCATGCCCAGCACTACAATGACCTTTTTATTTTTAAAGTTAAAATTTGAACCTTCAGGCACGTCAAGATGCCACCTGAGTTGGTGTGTGGATGCCCTGGGGGCTGTTGGACTCCCCTGAGACCTGATGCCCGTTGCCTCACCATGGAAAGTGTTGGCAGTTGATGCTTTCAGCCAAGTCCTTCTCCAGGACCGGCCTCCATTAGCCTACGGGCTTAGGGCCACAGCCTTCCCAGGAGCCAGACTTGTCCTGTGACCAGTCGGTGAGGCCTGGGACAGGCAACTCGGCAGGGATGTGCTGGCTGTGGGCTCCTGGTGGCATCCAAAGGCCTCGATCGCAGCGTTGCTCACTCCTCCTCGCCCTTACCACCCCGTCCCACTCCCCCAGGCATGTGTCCTGAGTGCACCCCCAGAGAGCTCCTGCAAGTCTCCCTGCAGCTGGAGTGTTTCCCAGGGAACCCCAAAACCTATGGTGATTCCCATCAGCTTACAGAGAACACACGAACACAGAAGGCTGCAATGGGAGGTCAGGGTCGACCAGAGGCTGGGGAGAGGTGGGAACACCAGCCAGCTGACCAGCGCTGTGAAGACTGCTCCCCTGGTTCAGTCACCTGGCTCAGCCCAAGGTGCTGTCCCCTGCATGGCCCATCCCCTTGTGGTGCCTCCTGTTAGGCCCGCGCCTCCGGGGACACACCAGGCAGAGCTCGAGGGAGGGGAGATTCCCCCAGGAAGCAGGCTCCCAGGGGCAGGGCGGAGCTGGCAGGACTGGCAGGACCTGAGGAGTATCCTGTGCAGGTCTCAGCAAGCAGAGGTGAGACGGGGTGGGGGAGCCAGCCCTGCACAGCTGTGAGACTAAACACAGGTGTTCTCGTGACTCCCAACGGGTGCTGATGAAACCCAGACAGGTCTGAACGGAGAGGGGCGGACAGATGCAGTGGAGGCATTTCCAAGTGACTCTTCTTTGCCACAGATGTCACCCAACCTCCAGTCTTCCCCCTTGATGTAACTCTTGTCCTCTGTCCTAAGAGCTCGGTCTCATGGAATCCCCCGAATTTCTTTTCTTTACTTTTTTTTTTTTTGTCAGTTGGAGTCTCACTCTGTCGCCCAGACTGGAGTGCAGTGGCCGCTCCTGGCCACCACAGCCTCGACCTGCTGGGCTCCAGCGATCCTTCCGCCTCAGCCTTCCAAGTAGCTGGAACTACAGGTGCGCGCTACCACGCTCGGCTGATTTTTTGATTTATTGTAGAGATGAGGGCTCGCCAAGTTGCCCAGGCGGATCTTGAATCTGTGGGCTCAGGCAATCCACTCACCTCAGCCTCCCAAAGGTGCGGGATTACAGGCTGAGCCACCGAGCCCGGCTCCGAATTTCTTAATAAGTGGGACTGGTGCCTCCGAAGCCAGCCGGGGCTGCCTCCTGCCTGGGACCTTCGCTTTATACAACAGACACACTTAGATGTTTCTATAAACGTAATGACAAAGCGATGACTAGTCCATTTATTGTATCACAAAGTCCCCCCATCTGACTCTTACAGTGTACCGTGGGGTATATGGGGCAGTATTTCTCCTTGGCAGAGGAGGAGACTGAAGTTCAGAGAGGTTGGGGGGGGTACAAGGCCCCTCAGCAGGTGAATTTGGTTGTACCCATGGGTTTACAAAGACCAAAGCCTGTGCCATTTCCTCCCCTCGGAAGCACAAAAGGAATTACCTTTCAGGAGATTCCTGTGGTGAGTCTGTCCTCTATATAAATCTGGGTGTTCACATCAGGAGGTGGGGGCCACCCGCTTTCTTTGGAGAATACCCACGTCTCAGCACTTTGGGAGGCTGAGGCGAGTAGATTGCCTGAGCCTGAGGGTTTGAGACCAGCCCGGGCAACTTGATGAGACCTCGTCTCTATAATAAAATAAAAAATAGCCGGGCACGTCCGTAGTTCCAGCTACTTGGAAGGCTGAGACAGAAGGATCGCTGAGCCCAGGAGGTCGACGCTGGGGTGGCCGTGAGTATGCACGCCACTGGACTCCAGCCTGGGCAAAGGAGTGAGACTCCAACTCAAAAAAAAAAAAAAAGAAAGAAAGATAGAAAAAGGACAGTGAGATTTTCGGTCACCAAGATTTCTAAACTGGCCCAGCAGGCTCCCAGGGACACCAGCATGACCACATTCCTGAGGAAGGTCTAACCAGCCGGGCCACCTCTGCTGTGGGTGGGGACGGCCTGGGGGGAGGTGGCCAGCTGCAGGGACAGGAAGAGCCTGCCAGTGGAATCCAGGACACACTCTGGCTGTCACGAGGCGGGCCTAGAAAGTTCTGGAAGTCATGGAGCGTGCAGCATGGAGCCAGGCCCCTTCCATCCTCATAGTGCTGGTGCGAGAGGAGCTTTCTCTTCCTTATTTCACATGGGCAACTGAGGCTTGGAGCTGAAGTGCCAAAGGCCAGCACTGAGGTGGTGTTGGGGTTTGAGCCCAGGCCTCTCAGACCCCAGATTGGTTGGTCCTCAGCGCCGTGTTGCACTGAGTGCAGAGCAAGAGAGGGCAGCAAACTGCACTGCCTCCCTTCAGGCCCACGGGTAAACGCTTTCCACAGTTACTCAGCGGGATGGGGGTGGGGCCGACAGAGCCCCGTCAGGGTGAGTCCCCCTCCCTCCTGTGAGGCAGACCAGGCTGCCCTGTGCTTACCCGAGCACGTTGCTGGGAGCCGTCTCTCCCCACCCCAGACCCATCACAGGGTCTCCCGCAAGCGCCAGCAGCTTGACCCCGAGTGGTGACCTCGTCGACTGTGCTGCCAGGGAGGTCAGGGAGGCCAGGGAGGTTGCAGGGCCGAGGGCACTGCCGTTCTTTCCTGTGTGGTCAGGCCACAGGCCGCGCCCATGGATACAAATGTGGGGGTCTCAGAGAATGATACCTCAACATGAAGGCCTCAGAGGCAAGAGTCTCCCTGACCTTCTTCCACCCTCTTGTCTCTGGCTGCTCATCCTCCTAGAAGCACCATAGAAAATAGGATTCCTCTTCCTAAGGCCAGTGCTGAAAATAGGATTCCTCTTCCTAAGGCCAGAACGCTCTTCTCCAAAGCACACATAAAACCTACAGATACGACTCTAACTTTCTCACCATCTTTCTGCATAAAAACTGGCCATCAAGAAGTCACCTGACCTCCCTTGACTGATGCAGGTCAGGAGACCTTATTCCTGAGAGGGTCCTGCCCGTGCCCAGAAGGAAGGGATGCCACTCAGAGAGGCCAAGGAGCATCACACAGAGAGGCCTGGGCACCCCTCAGCCTGTGAGCACTCGGTCCTGTCCTTTGCGGCAGCTCATACTTGGTTGAACCAAGGCATAAAAATGGACAGTTTCTCTTGTATCTTTGGGTCTTCCGTGAAGGTTCCCATGGACACCCGTTAAAGAGATATGCACGCCTTTCTGCTATTTGTCTGCCTTTTGTTGGCAAACCTTCAGAGGGTGAGGGGAAAGTTTTTCCTTGGCCCCTATACAATTGCCTGAAGGCTCTCTGGAGATAGACATAGAAATACAGAGATTTAAAGAAGTATTCTTCTTTCTGGCCTCCCTCACTTTGGCCTGCCAATGTATCTGCCCAGGGCTGGGATAAAGTTGGAACCCATTTCAAAATGCTATATACAAAAATTAACTCAGAATGGATCCATGACTCAAAGACAAGAGCTAAACTGTAGAACTCTAAGAAAGAAACTACCTTGAATTTACTACCTTGAATTTAGCAATGGAGTCTTAGATATGCCAACAACTCTTGAGTAGCAAAAGGAAAAGGTAAGTTGGACTTTATCGGATTCTAAACTTTTGGGCGTCAAAAGACATCATAAGAAAGTGAAAAAAATAACCTATGGATTGGGAGAAAATATTAGCAAACCATACATTTGACAAGGGACTTGTATCCAAATCTGTCAAGAACAACTCAAAATAGAAAAAAATTCAAATAACCCAATTTCAAATGGACAGAGAATGTGAAAATGCATTTCTTCAGAGAAGATCGGCAAATGGAATGAGCTCATGAAGACACCCTCAGCGTCATTAGGCATCAGGAACACACAAAGGAAACCATAGCTCGATGACACAGCGCGCCTGCCAGCACAGACAGCATAAGGGATGCAGACAGTAGAGTTGGGGGAGGGTGTGGAGAAGCTGGAATTCGCTTATGCTGCCGATAAACGTGGGCAGTCCCTTTGGAAAACACTCAGGCAGGTGCCTAAAAGGTTAAACTCAGAGTCCCCAAATGCCCCAACAAGTCTACTCCTATGTGTGTAACCAAAAGGACTGAAAATGCATGTCCACACAAAAACTTGTACTTGAGTGTTCACAGGAGTGTTAGTCATGGTAGCCAAAAAGTGGAAACAACCCAAATGTCCATCCATGGAAGGGTGGCTAAGCCACAGGACTACTCATCCTGTGAAATTACATTCAGCCACAGACAGGAATTAAGTTCTGATCCATGCGTTAATGAGGATGAATCTTGAAAATATCATGCTACCTGAAAGAAGTCAGACAAAAAGACCATACGTTACATGATTCCATCCTCTGCAGAAGAGAATCTATACGGTGTACAGGCCGAGGGAAACGTCCTGTCGCCCCGAGAAAGTTCACAGAAAATCACCAGCAGAAGGCAGATGAATGGGAGGAAAGGCCTGCGTATTTATTTAATGTATATCCACGGGATGATGTGTATTCTTCAAAGGAAGACCCAGAGCTACAGGGGAAACCGTCCTTTCTTATGCTGAGGTTCAACCAAGCATGGTAGCTGTGTAGAAACAGGATTGGATAAGAAAGGGCGAACCGGGTGCTCGGAGGCTGGAGGGGGCCCAGGCCTGTCTGTCTGATGCTCCTTGGCCCCTCTGAGCCGCGTTCCTTCCTTCTGGGCAAGGGCAGGACCCTCTCAGGAGTGGGATCTCCTGACCTACAGTCCAAGGTAGGTCAGATCATTTCTTTATGGCCAGTTCTTCCAGCGAAAAGTGGGGAGTCGAGGGGGTTAGTGTAGTATCTTCAGGTTTTATGGCTGGCTTTGGGGACGAGGGATTCTGGTTTCCAGAACTGGCCTTAGGGAAAAGGCATCCGAGTTTCTGTGGTGCCTGGGGAGGATGAAGGGTCAGAGACAGGAGGGCGGGAGAAGGTCAGAGAACAGTTTTGCTTCTTAGGTTTTCAGGTTGGGGTCTCGTTTTCTGAGCCAAACTATAAAAATGTCCAGAATAGGCAAATCTGTAGACACAGAAAGTTGCCTAATGATTGCCTCAGGACTGGGGTGGGTGGGGGACATGGGGAGGGACAGTTGAATGGCACAGGGTTTCTTTTGGGGTGATGGAAATGTTCTAAAATAGATCGTAGTGGCGGTTGCATAACGTGGTGAATATACTAAAAGTCATTGTCTCATACACCGTGAGCGCGTGGATTATGTGGCATGTTAAGTATATCTCAGTAGAGAGACCTTCCATAAGACTTGGGATGTGGGAGGTAGGCAGGGCCTGCTGGCCCCTCTTTGGGTGCTCCTGGCATCTCAGCCGGGGGGAAGGAGGCACCTGGCCTGGGCCTCAGAAGATGATGCCTGTGGGCACTTGGCCCCTGAAGGGCACATTCGGAAGCCTCTGGCTCTTTGTTAATGCCCCGTTAGTGAGGGGAGAGAAGGAAGAAGAGAACTTAAGCTTTGGGGTCTGCAGCTGGGCCGGGCTTCTGGAGGGATTCTGTAAGGTGGTAGCTCCAAGTCTGAGGGGGTTTGCCCATCTTGCTTATCTCTTCCAACGAAGTCACCCTGAGGCCCAGCAGGGAAAGACATTGGCTTATCTTGCAGGAGGCACCCACGGCGGCAGGCCAGTGAGGCATCCACACCAGAGGCAGAACACCAAGCCGTGTTACAGGCCAGCAAGGGAATTAGTCCCATTCCCCCATGGGGGGCGTGCACACTTACATCGACGAAGTGTGATGCCAACTTGCTTTCAGCTTTGCTCGGTCACCCGCATCTCGTGCCTCATTACTGGGACTATGCATGCCCACCAGAGACCCGTCTTGGCCAGAGGCCACTCCTGAGGGAGCAGGCAGGAAGAAGCCAGGGATGGAAGAAACCGTCTATGTCCAGATGATGTCACACAGTTGGAGGTGATTCTGTGCAAACCTTCACCAGAACCAACGATGCCATGTATCTGCCACTCCCAGCATGCCTCGATGAGCTCCCAGCTGGGTTTCATTTGCGATCTCCGTGCCATGAGCCTGATGGTTTGCGAGCAGGAGGATCACAGGGGGAACGGAACACAGAACCCTGGAACAAGGAGGCCAGTTGCCCCTTGTTCAAGTTAGATGAGAAAGTTTCTCCAGCAGCAGAGCTCACAAAACCTGGAACAAGCCCCCTGGAAGATGTGGGACCTTCCATATGGGAGGAGTCCCCTGGGGATTAGATGCAACCGGATATGGGACCGGCCTGCACTGTTCCGAGGGCAGGCTGTGCCATAGCCTTTGGAAGGGTCAAGACCAGGTTGCTGTGGGGGGGGCGTGGTCAGACGGGGCTCTTCACCCCCACTTTAACCCACTACGGCTGTACTACTCCCTGTGAGACTGGACAAGCCATTTCGTCTCAAATCGGCTACAGAACTCCGCTTTCCTGCAGCCGCTATACTTGGGTTTCAACTGTGCTTGGGTCCTTAGCGCCCATTTCTACCCCAGCCGCTCCTCACTCCTGTTCCTTATACCTTGGCTGGCAGAGAAAGTGTCAGGGAGAGAATGGTGTAGGCTAAGGCATTCTGACAAACAAATCCATGCCAAGATGTGCATGACTAAGAGTTACTTAATGTGTGGGATTTCAAGGAAGGATGTCAGTTACCTACGGAACCATCTAGTGAGCTCATTGCGGTGGAGTTTTTGTTTGTTTGCTTGGCTTTAGGTGGGCAGACTTTCTGGATGCTTCTTCACTGACATCACTTGAGATCAGCGCATTTCTTTTTTTTTTTTGAGTCTGAGTCTCACTCTGTCGCCCAGGCTGGAGTTCAGTGGCACGCTCACGGCCACTGCAGCCTCAACCTGCTGGGTTCAGGTGATCCTTCCACCTCAGCCTTCCAAGTAGCCAGAACTACAGGTGTGCGCTACCACACCTGGCTACTTTTTGATTTATGGTAGAGATGAAGTCTCGCCAAGTTGCCCAAGCTGATCTCGAACCCATGGGCTCAGGCAATCCTCTCACCTCGGCCTCCCAAAGTGCTGGGATTATTGGCATGAGCCTCCGCACCCAGCTGATCGGTGCATTTCAAACTCAAATATGCCTATGAATCACCTGGGGGTCTTGCTAAACTTGATGGTGCTTCAGTAGTTCTGGGCAGGGCCTGAGATTCTGCATTTCTAACTGGCTCCATGGGTGCTCAACTGCTAGCAGGGGCTGCCCTTAGAGCAGAGGCCTGGTGACCGCCAGGGCCCTTCAGCAATATGGACTTCTCAGGAGGTGAGTCGAGGCTGGCACTCTGGGCCCACTTCCAAGAGGGCACTGAGGACACTGTGCTGGAGTGGTTTATTTTGGTCAGGCATCCTTTCTTAGACGGAAGAGTGGAAGTGTGTCCACAGCGGCCCTGTCTCGTGCTCATCTCCGTTGTCTCTTACCTCTCCTCCCTGCAGCTCTGGGCTTGGCACAAAGAAGTCACTCAGTGTATGACGATGGACAGACCCCGTCAGCCCTGAAGGTGACCAGATGAGGTCGTGCACTCTGTGGGCTGTCACATGTCATCTCTGTTCCTATTTGACCACGTGGTATGAACTGGTGATCTTCGACCCTGACTGCAGATTAGGGGAATTTAAAAAATACCAATGCCCAAGCCCACTCCAGTATTCTGATTTAACTGAACGGTTTTGGAGCCCATGGGTGAGTGGTCGTAACAGCCTTCTAGGCTCCAACAACTCGACAACTGGAAGACAAATAACCTGTGCTCACCTTGGCCAAATATTGGAATAAACATTTCTCCAAAGCAGTTGAACAAATGGCCAACAAGTTCAGAAAAAGATGTTCAGCGTGATTAGGGAAATGCAAATAAAACTAAGAGATGCACTTCACACCTGATGGCTGGTGTGGGAAAGGTCACCTGTTTCCTCTGAAGGTTCAAGTCTAAGTCTGCTGAAGTGACAGTAGACAGATGATCAGGAAAGAAGCATGCTCATGTGCTTGGCGTGCAGGAGAACGACCCTAGGGTCCAAGGGAGATCCCATGCTTCTGCACCCTTCTTCACAGGGGAAGGGAAGGTGGGGGGTACAGGGGTAGATGGTTTTAGGGGCGATAAAGGACCCTGGAAAGCTCGTCAAAGATTTTCTTTGGAAACTGAGTGGGATCAGAGAGCAGACAGGCTCTTGGGACACAGTTCATCTGGGGTCTAGGTGTGGTGTTTAATTTTCAGTCTCTTCTTCTGTGACATGGGTTTTGATCTTCTCTGGTGAATGGCGTTTTAGGGAACCGGGCTCCTCTTTAGCAGGTCTGACTTCTAGGTAGATCAGGGAGCTTCAGGGAACAGCCACGTCCTGAGCTTTAGAGGCCGACGAGAAGGGAGAGCCAGAGGCCCAATGCTGCTGATTGAGTTTCACAAGTCAAAGCGCCACATTTTGGGGTATCGTTTCCTGCATTTCAACAGAAAAGAAAGGAAGAAGGGTTGGTGAGAACGTGGAGAGACCGGAGCCCTTGTCACTGCCATGGGTGCCCGGAGTGGTTCGGCTGCTGAGGAAAACAGTGTGGCTGTTCCTTGAAAAGCTAAACCCGCCATTGCGCTGTGACCCAGCGGCCCAGCCCTAGGAGGACACTGAAGATGACTGGAAACATATGTTCTCACAAAACCTGCACATGGGCACTCACAGTAGCATTATTCCTAGCAGCCCACAAGTCGAAAACTCCAAACGCCTCTCAGTTGGTGAAAGGATAAGCCAAACATGGTCTAGCCACCCGATGGAGCACGATTCGGCCACAAAAAAGAACGAGGCGCTCACGACACGGGGGGAGAGACTCCGAAACCCGAAGTGAAGGACGGCAGACGCTCGAGCCACACATTGCCTAAGTCTATTTACACGAGATGTACAGAACAGGGAAGTCGCAGAGGAGGAAAGGAGACCTGTGGTGGTTGGGGAGGGGCGAGGGAGGGGTGGGAAGACTCGGGCTTTCTTCTTGGGGTGATGAAGTGCTCTGGAGTTAGGTCATGGTGATGGTTGTGCTACCTTGTGACAACGTTAAAAACCAGTCAGAACTGCACACTTTAGAAGGGTTAAAATGATGCATCTTATGTGAATTTCATCTCAAAAACCCAAAAGTAAAGTGCTTGACTTGCAGCCAAGTTTGAGCAGCCCTGACATGAGGCCACCTGGGGTGAGGGCTGGATGTCCTGCCGCTGTGAAAAGACACACAACTCAATAGGGATCTTCAGCTCCAGCGGCACCCTGGGATGACTTGAGGAACCTTTGAAAAGCTGATGTGGGTTTTCCCCAGAAAAGTCTGGTTGAATTGTTCTGGGGTGCAGCCCAGACAAGAGCTGCAGGAGGTTCTAGTGGGCGGCCCAAGTGGGGGCAGTGCTGACCACCAGGGTGCTGCTATGATGCCATTTCCTGACCTCTGTCCTGCAAAGCTCGGGCTCAGGATGCATGCAAGACCAGGCATCTCTGGGGTCAACCAGCTCTAGGTGACTCTGATGGGGGTGGGGACCACACTTTGGGACTCGCTGCTTCAGGGGAGTCTTCTCAAAGGTGAATGTGTGTTCCTGGGCCCTGCTAAGGTGCAGCTTCTGACTCAGCATGTCTCCCCAGCCCTCAGGTGACACTGAGGATGTGCAGACCTCACTTCCAGTTGCCACAATTCTCAGGGTGTGGTCTCTACACAGTGACATCAGTATCGCTTGGGACTTCGTTAGAAATGCAGATTATCAGGAACTCTGGGGGTGGAGCCCAGCCATGTTTTAAGGAATCGTTACTGTATATATTCATAGCTTGCAGCATGATGTTTCGACACACGTACACACTGTGGAATAGTGACCTCCATCAAACATTTAATATATCCATTGCCTCACTCAGTTATCTTGTGTGTGTGAGAAGAACACTTACGAGCTACTGCTAGCATTTTGCAAGTAGACAATACATTATTATTATTTTTAGAGTCGGGGCCTCCCTCTGTCACCCAAGCTGGAGTGCAGTGGTATGATCACAGCTCACTGCAGCCTCAAACTCCTGGGCTCCAGCGATCCGCCTGCCTCAGTCTCCCAGAGTGCTGGAATTTCAGGTGTGAGCCGCTGCACCAGACCAGTCTATTATTGTTGATTACAGTCAACATGCTCTGCGACTATCTCCAAGGATAAGTCCTCCTAACTGAAACTGTGTACCCATTGACCAACATCTGCCCATTGCCCCCACGCGCCCCCAGCAATCTGCTTCAGCAAGCTCTGCAGGTGACTCCGAGATCCACTGCCGAAGGGAACAGGGAGCTGCCACCCTCCCAAAGGCTTCCTTCCAGGAGCAGGTGAGGGCTGTGAGCTACAGGGGTGCCCGGGGCCTCACAGGCCTCTGATGCTGGAGAGAGAGGGTCCTGGAGAAGGGGGCTTCGGAGGTCTCTGATGCTGGGGGGCAAGGTCCTTGGGAGGTGCTGGGGCCTCTGAAACTGGAGGTGAAGGTCCTTGAGGAGGGGACTTTGGGGGTTTCTGATGCTAAGGGAGAGGGTCCTTGGGGGGTGTTGGGGTCTCTGATGTTGAGGGGAGAGGGTCATTGAGGGGGGTGTTGGGATCTCTGATGCTGGGGGTGAAAGTCCTTGAGGAGGGGGCTTTCGGGGTTTCTGATGCTGGGGGAGAGGGCCTTCGGGGGGTGTTGGGAGTCACTGATGCTGGGGGGAGAGGGTCCTTGAGAGGGATTTTGGGGTCTCTGATGCTGGGGAGAGAGGATTCTCGAGGATGGTCTTGATAGTCTCTGATGCTGGACACTCACCAAGTTGTCCAGGCTGGTTTCAAACCCCTGAACTCAGGCAATCCTCCCACTTCACCTCCCAAAGTAGTGGGATTACAGTCTTGAGCCATCACACCCTGCTAAAATGATGCATCTTGTTATGTGAATTTTATCTCAAAACTGTGACTGGGTGGATTTGCGAACCAGGGCTCCCATCTTCTGCTTCCCCCTAGGGTTCAGGGCACCTGGGGCTCCCAGGCTGGCCTGGCCCCGGGGAGCCTGCCTTGCCAGCTTCCTAGGTGTTGGGGACTTCAGGCGTTACTTCTTTCGGGGTCATTTTCATGTACAAGCCAGCGTTCTGGAGAAAACACTGTTTCTAAGGTGGAACTTTGCGCTCGGTGTTCCTGGGTAGGAAGCTGCCGGGTCTTTGAGTCCCACCTCTCAGGGACGGTCTTTGGGCTTCTGATGGTGCTCTGCCCACCTCCATCAGTGGGTCCCACGGTGCCGGGCGGGCCCCTCCCTGGTGCAACTGTGGAGGCAAAGGCAGGAGTGAGGAATTCCCCACGCTTGGCTACCTCCCAGGATCTTGCCCGTCCCTGGGGGACAGAGGCAGCAATTAGCATCATGGGAACAGAGGCTCTTTGTCTGCCTCCCAGACAGTGGGATCAGACTTCCCAGAGACATGCTAATTATTGGAAGGGACAGGGCCCGCTGGCTCCATCTCTGCTCAGCATTGCTGCCCCAGAAGATAAACCAGGTGTCGGGGGAGCCTCCTGCCGCTCCAGCCACGCAAGCCCCTGGGTGTCCCTCCCCCAGATCTCCACAGCACCATGATCAGATGGGCTCACTCGTGCCTAGTCTTGAGCGTCTCCTGGTTTGTCACTCGCAAGTGGCTTTCCTCCCCATTGGATCGGCAGTTCCTTCCCAGGGGACCTTGTTGATGGTCAATAAATCAACCAACCCATCCATCAGTATCTATCTGTTAAAGGAACGATTTGCTAGGCGCTGTGCCAGGCCTGGAGACACAAAGATGAAGAACGTCCATTTGGAACGAGGCGTGTGCAGCCCTGCGGGGTGCAGGGTTTCCAGCAGTCAGCTGATGCGTACTGACACAAACAGGGGAATGCATGGGTGCCCTAGGAAGGAGGGGGCGGGTGGGGAAGGCTTCCTGGAGGAGGTGGCATCTGAGGAATGCTAAGGATGAGATGAGCAGGGGTTGAGCACATCGCTGGTACAGAGAGAGGGACTGGCTGCATTGGCTTTGGCATCCCAGCATCGGTGCTCCTCAGACCCAGCTCGTGCGGGCGAGAGGGTGGATGGACCCTCCTGCTGCCAGACGCCATCCTCAGAAGACCTGAGTGGGAGGACTGTGCCGTCCAGGGGTTGGGTGCAAGAACGGGGGCTCTGAGGCTGCTCCATGGTCAGCCTGAGAATAAGCGCTTGCTCGGGCAGGTGGGGCCCGTGTGCGTCCGGCCTGGAGACCCAGGCACTCACTCACTTGCCCCTGGGGTTGACGGGGTGGATGCCAAGGGCGTGCTGAGCCTCATCCCTCCTGGGCCTGAAGGGAGGCAGAGGTCACCATGTTGGTTTCATCAGCAACTGACCCTCCTTCCTGATGACTGGCATCTCGCCAGTCTCCCTGGCCACACCCTGCATGCTGCAGTCACCTTCGTATCCGCCCCTGGAAGCCAGGGCATCCTTCCTGCGGGGGTTGGCTCTGATTCGGCCTGCGGGCCATTTCTTGAGGTTGGAGGAATGCTTAGCACTGAGGGGGTAGGAGGGATTCTGCGGAGGGTGA